GTTCTCCTGTTCCTACTAAAGCACGTAATTTACACATTTCCAGCAACGACAACTTCACTTGCCTACATATATGTAGTGCAGAGACCATGTTGTAGACGATAAAAAGATCAAGAAGAAACAAGCATAGCGCTACTTTTTTCTGGGGAAATACATGACATCTTGCAATTCAAAATGACCTGTTTATGCGTCTTTTAATTTTGTCTCTATAATATTTTCACTCTGGCGGTATTTGGGTAAACTTATGCTATCCTATAATAAACTAAACTATATGAATTAGCTTTAGTTTGGGCCATAATATTTATGGAACTTTGATATCTGCAAGCTATATAATTGATTTGGCAGTCAATGTACATAGTTCCCAATCAAGAAATTGACTTCTTGGAATTGTAAGTGATTAAAGTCTATCAACTCATGTAATACTTGACTCAGAGAAGAAATTAGTAATAGAGATTTAAGAGAATTCATGTCTTTGGAATTTTGAAGTGCAATTCCAGCTCTCGGTCTGATGCTTCAGGATTATAGGATAAATGCCTGGTGTTTTTACTGTACGTTTCTCCTCATTATTTTTTTGTCCAGAAACTATCCATCAGCAACCATTACAATGATTAATTTTCCTTCTCCTGGTTCCCAAGGATGTCAATGCATGAGCTCATCAACCCATACAACTTTTCCCACTAAATTCTACTAGATTTATGAACCCAATATTCTTCACCGAGCTATGGATCAATCAGACAACTCAAACAAGAGGATCGGTTATTTGAAAAGCCAAGGAAATTTGCTTGTGGCACCAAGTCAAAAATTTGAAACAAGGTTACTTTGTCTGCAGAAAAGTATTTGATGTCAAACATGGAAAACCTGTGCAGCTTCGCAGAACAATTGATAGTACATGGATGGCGATATATAATTACACAGCAGAGAGATGTCAAATCAAAGGCTACAGCATCAAAGAAAGTAAAATAATGAGTTGAAGAAAAATTATACGTCAAGCAAGTTCGTGACACTGAGTAGTCACAAGTAGATGGGAGCAAAAGCCCTGAACGCACACTCCAAATTACTATCAAAGCTAAAACACAGGACTTGGGTGTGATTAAAAATGCTAGGTGAAGATTTCAACTTGTTTCCGACTGTGCATTAAAGACGCCTGCAAACAATGAAACTATGATGTTTATGGGAATTATTACATGTTGCACCGTATCAGGAACTTGGTCGATCTAAAGGTTTAAGAAACTGCTATTTTGAAGTGATCACTGAACAAGAAGACAAAGTCATCCAACGGTATATAGATTGTTACAAACAGAGAAACTCCAGAAAGCCATCTATTTTCTCTGGAGTAGAGGCTACTCTTCACTTTTATCTCCACGAAGACCAAAATTGAAGCAAAAGAAGATCTTTTGGATGTAAAAAAGATCATTGACTTGGAGTCTATAAGGATGTAGCTGTGGCCCAAGTTTCAGGGCTGTTTAAGCCAGGTAGCTTCATAGACACAACTTGAAACAGAACCATACTAGTATCTGCCTCAGACTCAGCCGTTGAGTTCTCTGGATACACCATGTCATCAGCTAAAGTTGGATAGAAAGTTACAAAATCAATAAAGAAATAGGAATTGAGAACGAAAAGGAAGTGAAGAGTCAAAGGACATACAATTGTCACGTTGGAAGTTCTTCGCCACTGCCATCTGGAATGTGTTCACAAGACCTGAATTGAGGTTTATTTGAATATTTACCAAATGACCTAAACAGATTGCACAACTTCCAGATTTTAATTTGTCCGGAGAAATCATGCATTCGTAAAGTAACTCGCCACACTTCATCTTCAAACAGTCATTGTCAAAGTATTCAAGCATTTCAAAGACAATAACTTTGGTATGATGATCAAGCTTAGTTAGTTAATGTTGCATTTACAATTGCAGAATCTTACTGAATTAGTCTTGGTTATGGACTAGGAAGCACCGATGCGGACACGCCGGCACACAACTTTTCAAAAATGTATGACATGATACATCCCAGATACACTGATTAATATAGTCCATGTTTGACACACATTCTTTAAAAATACATTCTTTCAAAACTCATTTTCAACCACACATTTTTTAATAAAATAATATTTTTCATCACATCAATAACTTTTCATTACCTTTTAACCACATATTTCTCATCATATCACTATTTAAAATACATTTTTTTCTCAATAATATCCATCAAATACACCCATAATAGTAAGTTTCTTTTCATTTTTTTATGTTCTAAAGTAAATGCATTTTTGTTAATTCGACGTATCGACAATGCATCGGCTATGTACCTTCAGCGTGTCGGTAATGTGTCTAACTGTATAAAAACAAAAAATATTTGGTCACACCATAGCATTTTCGACTTATGTTGACCACGTGCCGGTATCTGACACGATGTATCTCCCAACATGTCGACAATGTGTTAGCGCAGAGTCCAACGGTACAAAGTCAAAAAATAATTTGGACATGCCACCGGCGCTTCCAAAACATGTCGGACAACAACTCACCGACGTCACGAGGGTGCCAATGCATTTCATATCTCTTTAGTAATTCTAGATTATCTAAAATTAGTTTGAAAGTTGAAATATATAGTTCCCAATAGGAATAATAGGAGTAAAAAATCTAGCATAATTCTTTGATTAAAAGAAGAATTCAGTACAAAAATTTAGGAGCTTCGGAAACTTTTTAGATTGAGATGCCCTTTTCTTCTACTTGAAATGCCTAGCATTTCTCCTCTCTCTCCTTTGTTTTTTTAAATTTACTATTTCCAGGTGCTGTTGACTGGGATGCAAAACAGCCATTAATTTTTCTTCTCTTGGTATCTCAAGGATCTTCAAGCTTTACCTATTAATACCCATTATAAACCACTACAAATCCAGAAGACCCAAAGTTGGCCTACAACAGTCCTATATATGCATATATGTGAATCTATGTATACATGCATACCCTGTACAAATCTATATCCTGCGACTGGCAACACTAAGACAAAAATAACCATTAAATCTTACTTGTGCGATGGTTAGGGACAGGGGCAGAGCCAGGGGGTTTAAACTGCGTTGATACATAGCAAAAAAAATATTACAAAAAAAGAAAAAGAAATACCTAAAAAAACTAAACGGGCTTGGGACAGGGCTGGGCTTTAGGGGTCACTATCTTAATCAAACCGTAATAGTTCGATTCCCATCCACTATGGTGAGGCGAGGCAAGCCTTAGTTCAGTGATATGCCATCAAATAACACTAGTCTCTAGCCCATGAAAGAACAATCACATTGGTAGTTGCCTACTTCCTCCAGCCTTTTATGAACTGAAAGAACACTTACAAAAGTAGTAGATATTGGTTCTAAACGAAAGTAGGAAACAACTTACCATGATTAAGTTTCCTCCAGGACAATTTCACCTGGGATCTCATACCAATAAAATAGAAAGGGTTAAAGTAAACTCACTCTGCTACCGAAAAATGTCCTTTTCCTATTCATAATTTCAAACTTTAAACATTTCGCAAAGAGACATAATCTTAGGTCCTTAGCCTAGTATATCTCAGAAGAAACTGAAATTCAACTAGTCAAATGCATGATTATAAAGAATCTCAAATAAAACATCATTTCTTTTTTTCTTTTTTTTTTTTCCTTCTCTCTTTTCTGAAAGTAGCATTATATCTGTTATCCTAATGAAACTATGAACCAACTAATTCCACTATCCAGGAATTATAAGAAATTTACGGAAACCTAAAGCAAATTAAGTAAAATTCACCTCATTTCGTCTGCAGGCAACATTCAATCAATGTAGTTAAAAGGTAGTTCCGTAGTTCAAAAATCAATCATCAACCCTTAAGATAGGCAACACAAGATAAACAAGAGAACTACATGAGCATCATAGTTATCAATCTCCACCAATGGCGGAACAAGCACAAAAGTTCAGCTTGGGCGGACGTTGACTATTAATCGTCGACAATCAGCGATCATAAGAGCGAGGTCGTTTATTAATATTTAATTAAATAATATAAAAAATTATTCAATATATATGTAAACGCAATAAAACATAAAAAATATATATATATGAAAACGTAGTTCAATACAACCAAAAGTATTAATGAAATACGCACTTGTAGACCACCAAATTGTCATTCAACCAATCATCTCCAATTTTGTTGCGCAAGTCACTCTTGATTAGATTCATAACGAGAATACGCTTTCAACACTTGCAGTTGACACATGCAATATCAAAACCAAGGTGATTAACCTATAAACCAATATAAAATAACAAGAACTTCTTGTTTCAACCAACTTCTGAGCTACACAAGAAATGCTATTGAGGTTAAAGAAAGCTTTATCCATTCTCATAAACATAAGAAACTTGTCTTAAGGTCCAACTAAAATAAATTATACTTTTAGCCCAACTCAGGCAGAAGGCCTAATCACAAAAAAAAAAAAATTCAGCCCAACCCAGGCAAAAGGCCCAATTACAAAACAAAAAAAGGAAGAGGAACAAGCGAGCGGCGAAGCCAAACCCTCACCTCTCCGGCTCTCTCGCGCCGGTCTCCTTCTACCACAATGGCATGGCACTATTCCGGCGGAGCCCAGCACGCGCGCCTGCGCCCCTCGCCGGGTGCTGGGTCCGCCGTCTCCACCATCACCAATTCGCAAATGTGTTAAAGATGAAACACCACATTAATTCATGCGAATAATCATGATAATTAACTCAGTGAGATACGGTCAGCTGAACTCAGATTTTATAATCACAAGCAAAACTGACCGAAGGAAAAACACAATCACAACCAATGTAATTAAATACCACATAAGCCATGCCAATAATCATGATAACTGACTCAGCAAGTTCGAACAACTAAAACCAAGTTTTATTCAGACTCAGCAAATTGACCTAAGGAAAACCACCATTAATATCACGCACGCACGCACGCACGCACAAGGACACACACCTAGATCTTACTTAAATTAAAAGGTCGTCGAAAGTTACAGATATGAAATCGGTCATTTCAAGATTCAACATCCTCCAATGCTTTGTTGCTATAATTTTCAATGGTGATACTCTTCCCATCGCCAGAGGAGATTACCGGCTGCAGTCTGATGACGCTGGAAAAATTCGTAGACATATTCGAGTAAAGACCGAGTACTTTCGAAATATTCCCATTAATTTCCTTAATCAAATCAACATTTTTCGCCAAATTATCAGGAATCTTCGACTGGTGATTCTCGTTCACCTGTTGAATCAACACACGGTTTTGATTTAACAAAGTTTGTACCTCGTTGAAGCCCTTGCTCAAAATCCCCCATGCTTCCACGTCGCAGCTCGCTTCTTCTTCACCGTCCTCGTTATCATCTCCGCCGCCGTTGTAGCGGTGGTTCTGGCGATTGGCGGTGGCTTTAATTTGGAAATTGTCGTCCATGATCGAGGAAGAATCGTGTTTGTCATTTCATACGTTTATTTTTGCATTTTTTACATTTTTTTATAGTATTTTTTTTTTTTCATTTTTCTAATTAATTTATTGCGTTAAAGAAAAGGAGAAACGACAATCAAGGCGGTTGTGTGAACAAAATAACAACCGACTCCACAATGACTGCGGATTTTCCGATTAATATATTAAAACTTAAAAGTTACTTTTTATTTTAATATAAAATTTATAAAAAAAATCGATTTTAAAATTATTCTTGTCACTTTTCAACACCCCATGTCCCATATCACGTTCTGAATCCACTAAAAATGATTGAATGCAGTAGATAAAATATTACATTTTGGTTACTTTTGCATATTTTCGACCCTAAACATACACTATCACAAAATCTAATCTAAATTAATGATGATAAATTTTAATGGTGGTACACATCTTATGAATATGCAATGTGCAAAAAATAGTCTGAAAGAGAATAATAAGAAAAAAATGGAAAGTCAAACATTGAACTGGCCAGATGACCAATTTTCATCCCCATTTTTTAATATTACTAGTTGTTGACACGTGCATTGTACGAATTTTGTATTTGTTGTATTAGTGTAGAAATTTAAAAAAAAAAAATACTTTAAGATTTATTAGATTATTCAAGAGTTTTGGGAGCATATTATTGACTCGCTAATGTTCCATCTAACAAGGTGATTATTTCAAAATCTGATATTACTGCATCAAGAAACTCACCAAAAATAAAATTGAAAACATCACGTGTATGTAGAACATGGCAGTACTTGATAATAAAAACGTTTGACATACATAAAGATTGCAGGGTTACAAGAGTAAAAAATAATTGATTCATTAAATAATAAAGCATGCATCGAAAAATGAAAATGCATATTAAAGAAGTTGTAAAAGGATATCATGCAGCATCTATAAAATAAAACCAATGAACTGGGATAGAACTGAAATGTGTATGCTAAGACAGAATTGATAATTCTTGCATTGTCATTTCTGTTTCTTCTCTTGATTGTTTATAAATGTCGGAATCTGAGTATACAATAAATATTAGAATATTGCATTAAATCAACAAAAGCACCTACCTAACCCCTCAAAAAAATGTAAAACATATCCAGTGAATATGTGTTGTATTCTCTCATGTTCGGAGTCTCGAAATAGTTGGATTACCCATATCGGACACGACATGAATATGGGTATGGGATATGTGTCGAATCCTCCAAGTTTCAATCGAACATTTCGTCGTTTTTACTTCTTCTTTTTTCTTTTTTCTTTTTTTTTTCTTTTCTTCCCCTTTTTTTCTTTCCCCTTTTTGCTATCTGTAAACCTAGAGTCGTTGTCGAGAAGGTGGAGAAAGGTGGGGACGTTAGGTTTTCCCATCTTTTTCTTCTTCTTTCTTTTTTCTTCCCATTTTTTTTCTCTTTTTCCTTCTTTTTCTCTCTGCATCGATTAGAGTTTTATTTGTATAAAATGAAAATGGATTACATATAGTGTTACTTAATACTCCACTAAATCCAAATTGCAATCAAATCCCTCATTTTTTTTATATAACAATTAGTAATCTCATAATCTAAACTAAACCCCATAACTCTATTTTATTCATCTTAACCCCATATTCAATGCGCATTTCATTATTTGTGAATAATTGATTTTGGCCTATTCAAAATGATATTTTGAATTAGTAAAAAAATTGAAATTTAAAAGACGTGAAATTTGGAGTCTTTTTAGTCATATTCCCGTATCTTATATTTTAGAAAATAAAATATCCGACACTTAAATACGTACCAGTACTCGAGTCCGAGTATCATAAATTGTATTTTCTAGATTGCATATATAGGTTGCTGTAAAGGGGTTTTGCTTCATGTGTGTCATATGCCTCTTATTATGGTTTTTGTTGTGATAAGACAACTTGGACCAGTCCAGCCTTCTAATAGAATACACTAATCTTCTATGTGGAAGTATTACTTCAAAATTTATATTTCCTGTAATGGTCTTATGTAATGGGAATGGGAGTAGTACTCCCATATTTAAATTTTCTGCAAAATTCTCTGATGTTAGATGTTATGATGAGAATTATAGGAGAAGGGGAAAGGGAAGAGAGGAGAGAGGAGGAGAAATGATGGAGAAATAGAAGAAGAAGAGGGTGAGAGGAAGAGAGAAATTGGAGAATAAATATATCATTTTTTATTCATTCAAAGTCCCCTCTATACAGCGCAAAAAGAGCCGTTTATAGGGTTTGAAATATTCTATCTTGAGAAGGAAAATACTAAATTAAACCTAATTATAACATTCCTAAAATACGAATTACAATTGAAAACTAAGCATAATAACATTCCTTCTAATATTGCATCATTATTTCTCATCCTTCGTACTTCGGGAGGTAAGATTGGACTATCCCCTCCTTGTATTAATTTTTTACAACCAAAATTCTGAACCTTGTAAAATGAGCAATCCAGAGGAACAAATCGTCCAGCTCAACACAGTTCCAAACTTACCCATAAAACCACGTTCACTTTCATGAAGAGCTTTAGGAAGGAGAGTTCCTCAACACAACCGACAAGTTAAGATTATGGACTAATTCTCATCATATAATTCTTTAACAGGATTCGGTTAATTTTGTTTACTTTTACATGTAAAATCTTAAATATGCAGTTTCTTTTATTCATACTATTTAGTATGAAGCCTAGAAAGAATAGACATCTTCCAGAGGTTTCAGATTTGACAATGAATCCAAATTCTTCTTTGACATGGATGGTCATAAACCCGGCATAGTAATGCAATTAAGTTAGAAATCCATATAGTCAGGGATATGCTTACAGAGTGAGATAGTGCATTGGCACCTTAAATGGGCTTCCAACATAACTTCAGGTGAGCTTATGATGCTAACTGTGTACTCAATATCACCATGGATGTAGACTATAAATAACAATAAAAAGCTAAATAAACAATTAATATGAAGGTGTCATCAACTCACACGGTAAAAATACAATAACAAACCTTCATACGTCTTCAATACACATAGTTATATTGAAACCCTAAAGCAATTAACAACATATCAATCAACAAATCAAGGAACCATGATGACTTTAATCCAGTAGAAACCTCCAGGATGACTTTAATCCAGTAGAAACCTGAGAGTCACCTATCTTTAAACACAATTTTGTGAGTAGACATAGAAGCACTGCACCTAATATATAATTAAACAAAAACAACTAAAAGTAAACAATTGCAATTGTTAAGTTGCCACTTATATATCTATCTTCTTAAAAAGATGCTCCAATAGTTTTCCCATGTTAGATTCTGAAAGCTAGTTCACTGAAAAGTACGCCATCACTATCAGTTAATCTCATCACATTTCAATAAAAATGATCTAAAGGTTAAAAAGGTTATCTGGTCACAATCCTCCATTGTGGTAGCTCTATCTAGTATTTTTTGGATCACATCCCATTACAATCCACCATTCATGCCATGCATGTCGAATGATGTAAAAATAGAATCAAAATCCTACATGAAGGAAATGAATGAATAATATATGAAGGCCACAAAATGAAGAAAACCATACACACACAGAGGGCCAGAAAGAAATGAAAATAAGGCTAAACAAACATGATCATGCCTCTTCTGAATCAATTAGCATCCAATTGCCATCAGGTGATTCAACAAAGATTCTGCCAAAACCAGGGTCTTAGCTAGAAGAAAAGACAACAAAACGCATTTGGTTTCACATTCTTCAAAACTATTTCTCAAAACAAAAATCTGAAAAACATGTTTGCTTTGAAATTTTTAGAAATTGTTTTATGACACGTTATTTAATCAATTTGATTATTCAATAAAATAGAACAATTTTATACTAATATATTATCAAGTAATATATATATTTTTTAAGTTGATGAATCTTACAATTTTTTTTTACAAGAATATAATAAAACACATGCGAATATATTACACCGACGAGCTCAAAAATTCATCTTAGCATTACTACATACACTTGCAAATATATTACGTTGACAAACAAAATATTTCAACTTGGCATTTCTACAAGCACCTTAAATTCACTCAAAAAGTCTAAAATAACCCAAAAAAGTGCCCACTGAAAAGAAACCATTGATTCAACTTCAACTCCTTATCCACATAAAAACGATGAACATCCACAGAAGAAAAAATGTACAACAAATTTGTAAAATTGGCATTTCTTTTCCAAGTTCCTCATTTGTACGATTTGCACAATAAACAGACAATCACTGACCTTGATTGCGTATGAACCAGAGGATCTAACCAAGAAAAGTAATTGCAATCATACCAATTCACACCTCCATGGAATCATCGACTGGGATTTGCCCTCGTTCCATGAAATTTTGAGGATGCCCACAGTATCACCTTGTTACTTCATTATGTACAAAGGTGAAGTTTACATCCATTTTTGTTCAAATCATACAGACCCAAATATGGTTTTGGATGGAATCTCTAGGATTCGGGCTTCGATATACTTTGAGGATCTTGGGATAAATGCACTCCCAGTGTGAAAATGCCTACGAAAAATAGTGTGATTTCATCTAACTCTTCGTTCAAATCACGGGGATAAAAATTGATTTATGATGAATATTATAAGTTATTTGGGTGGTTTGATTTGGTATTGGAAGAAGGAATTTGGAATTTACTTCCCACCTCAAAACAGAAAATTATGTTTTGAATTTAGGGTACGCTTGATTAGTAAAATGGGTAAAAAAAAAATGTTTTATTGGGAATTAAATTGTCTGGAAAATATTTTACCAAGTATTGTAATTAATTGTGTTTGATTTGTATGGTATTCGTTTGACTTCATTTTCATGAAACTTCTCCTTTAAAGTGATAATTTTTTTTTACCATTGTATCTAGAATGTCTTCTAATTGCCAAAAAAAAAAAAAATGAAAAAAAAAAGCTGCAAAACATTGTATCGCACAAATCAAAGGAAAATCTATTCCTTAAAAAGCCAGAAAAGTGGCTCGTAAGGAGGGCAGCTTGAAAAGGTTTTCCAGACAACTTTAGCCATCAAACAAGCAAAAAAGTGGTACAGGAAATTTTTTTCCATTTTCCATGAAAATTCCCTTGTATCAAACAGCCCTTAATCTTATTTTCAATAATGCATTTTCAAAGAGTATAAAACCAAACAAGTTTTGTGAGTGTTTTACAAAATTAAAAACTAAAAACACCAAACCAAACGCCCCCTTATTGTCCCCTTTAATATATTTATCAAATTTGGCAAACATGGCAAGTTGAAAAGACACAGTTAAAAGCCAAAAAAACCATCAACTTAATTGAACAAGACCTGATCTTATCCCAAGCAAAGCTACTAAAAAATGGTTAATCCATGATCCATAAGCAATTTTGTAGTTACATAAGAAATACAGAAAAATTAATTCAAAAGCAAACAAGGATGAGTGAATGTACAAAAGTCACCAGATAGGAAGCCTTCAATTGCGTAAACAAGTTTCAAACCTCCTTCACTAATTGCAACTTGTGCTTTCACCGGTCCTTACAAAACATGAAAGATCAAAGATATGCCAAACCCCACAATATCACGTTCTCTAGGACAGTCTGACACAACCTAATGGAACGAATGCTGGGCATTCACTAAGCTTAACACAATTTCATTCCGTAAATAAAAAAATAAAATTGAAGTTTTAACATGTTGACATCATCACACAATAACATAAGAAACATGAGTTTTGGATCGAAGAAAATCGGTGTGCATGTTTGAAAACTAAGTAATAAATCTAGTACAGAACCAGGAAATGGAAAGTGAGCCATCATTAATTGGAACTTATTTTCTAAAGTTTTTATTCCCATCCTAAAGTGACATCAGTTTGCATGCTAAAGTTTTTATTCTCACGCTAACTATACAAACTAATCAGTTTACAAACAATACTAAATGTCAGTCAAAACCATACATCTAGATAGAAAAAAGTAAATGTCGATCCCTTTCTACATCAAAAGTTTAATATATTGAATAATTTTTAATATTATGGAATTAAATATTAATAAATGACTTCACTCTTACGAGTAGATGTTGACCGGTCAACGTCCGCTCGGGCTAGAATAGTTTGCTGGGTCCGTCCCTGCGCGTGAGGAGGGTAGCTTGAAAAGGTTTTCCTGGCAAAACTTTAGCCATCAAACAAGGGAAAAAGTGGTAGAAGGAAAAACTTTTTCATTTTCCATGAAAATTCCCTTGTATCAAACAGGCCCTTAATCTATTTTTAATAATGCATTTTCAAGAGTATCAAACCAAACAAGTTTTGTGAGTGTTTTACAAAATTAAAAACAAAAAACGGCAAACCAAACGCCCCCTTAATGTCCCCTTTAATATATTTATCAAATTTGGCTAACATGGCAAGTTGAAAAGACACAGTTAAAAGCCAAAAAAAACCATCAACTTAATTGAACAAGACCTGATCTTATCCCAAGCAAAGCTACTAATAAATGGTTAATCCATGATCCATAAGCAATTTTGTAGTTACATAAGAAATACCGAAAAATTAATTCAAAAGCAAACAAGGATGAGCGAACGTACAAAAGTCACCAGATAGGAAGCCTTCAATTGCTCAAACAAGTTTAAAACCTCCTTCACTAATTGCAACTTGTGCTTTCACCGGTCCTTACAAAACATGAAAGATCAAAGATATGCCAAACCCAACAATATCACGTTCTCTAGGACAGTCTGACACAACCTAATGGAACGAATGCTGGGCATTCACTAAGCTTAACACAATTTCATTCCGTAAATTAAAAAAAAAAAAAATTGAAGTTTTAACATGATGACATCATCACACAATAACATAAGAAACGTGAGTTTTGGATCGAAGAAAATCGGTGTGCATGTTTGAAAACTAAGTAATAAATCTAGTACAGAACCAGGAAATGGAAAGTGAGCCATCATTAATTGGAACTTATTTGCTAAAGTTCTTGATCCCATCCTAAAGTGACATCAGTTTGCATGCTGAAGTTTTTATTCTCACGCTAACTATACAAACTAATCAGTTTACAAACAATACTAAATGTCAGTCAAAACCATACATCTAGATAGAAAAAAGTAAATGTCAATCCCTTTCTACATCAAAAGTTTAAGGAGCTAATCCCTCTTTTCTGTGTTTCCAAAGTGCTAATTGAACGAAAATTGTCAAACCCACGAATTGTTAACCGTTACAGCAATATTGAAAATTACAAGAAGCTCATATGAGAATTTATATGTGAATCTAAATTATAAGTCAGATCAAGAAATTAATGTACACTTGTATGAAAATTCAAACACGTACCGTGTCCTCGCTGCGGGGAGATTTTTTTTTTTTTTTTCAAACAATGCTAACAATTAAGATGTCTGAAACCAATTTCCAAGATAAAATCAAATTCTTCAAAATACAAAGACAAATCAAATTATTCAAACTCAACATACTGAGAAAAAAATGGAAATGATATAAGACGTATGAAATTATAAAATTGAACGACTGGAGCAATGAAAACTGATTAACAGCAGCATTTCATTGGTCATTATTGCATCTACCCAAAAACTGTCTTTATTTATATAGTAGTGAAAATTGGAGGACTGGAGGAGTGAAAACTGAAAAAAATGAACAGTAACATCTCATTGGTTACTATTGAATCTACAATAACTGCAAAGTGCCCTTTTTAATATAGTAGGAAACAATAACCGGACCACATTCTGGGGCGGTCCAGTTTTCTCAACACTCTGTTTACAACATATGATAAACTGCAGTTTGTCTAGCTCAAATTTGTCTGATATTGTACACAACATATGGACCTGCATTCACTTGATTATCTATACAGTCTCCGCTACAACCTTCAGCTAATTAATGAACAAGCTCAAGTGACTTTTCCAGCAAGACTAATCAAGAACTATATAAATTATCAGTGCCAATTTCCCCGCGTTCGAAAAATTAACAATCCTTCCTAAAGATGAACAGTGATTACTCGCTATCACTATCACAATCTAGGAAATTAAAATTCGACCTTCCGTCGAGCCTTATGATAAGTGTTCCACTATTCTCTTCACACCATGTAATACCTTCTTTCTGTAGGAGACCAATGACCTACAATGCAACAACCCTGAGCTCAAGTACTAACAAAAAATTAGTCATGAAACTTGAGGTAATAATCCCGAAACTTTTTAGTGCATGTTTGGTAGGAAGGATTGCATAGCATTGGACAAAATTATTTAAAATGATTTGAATCAGATTTTTGGATCAATCTATATTGATTTTCTGTTAATCATTATATTGTCCATTCATATCTAATATTTCTTACCAAACATGCACTTAAGGTGAAGAAAAGTCGTTAAATGTGGTACCCAGATTGCTTAGAAAACTTTTAGTTAGTTTCACAGACTCTGAATAGGGAAAAGCTTCTAAGAGAAGCAAGTTATGACTTACTTTCTAAAAAGGTCAATTTTGTTAATTAAAAAAAAACCATGTTTGGCAAAATAAGAAGCTCGAAAGTAACTTTTACTTCTTTCCAAGCTTTAGCCAAACATGCTCTAAACTGTGATAGCAGAAATACATAGGTTTTGAACCATACCGAATTTTTGAGCTTTGATCTGCCAACACCATGTCTTCCACATCCCGTGATAACCCTGAATAACTGCACAGCTACAGAAGAAAAATGTAAATTCAGAAATTAAGACATGCTTGAATACTTCCAACATATAATTTTTTTCAAATATGGTAATTTTTCCACGTTACAGGTTGCACCGATTCTTACAACGCACACATGCTCCGAATAATAGGTGGAGTTTCAAAAGCCTCATTGCTTGTTTAATATGTTGTCCATGCAGATCAATTGTTATCATGTTCTCTATGTTCTTGTTTCTGCAATACAAGGGATAGGTCAGGTAACAATAAACAATAAACAAATTCATTATGCTTAATACTATGGCCCACCTAGCAGTAAATATATCCTGGCTAGCCTTTTCATCTGCTTCTTGAGCCCTTTTATTGTGCAACCTCCCCTGGAAACATTAAGAGATAAAGTTGGTCATGTCACCGTTCTTCATAAGTCTTTCAACTACATCAATAATCCTAAGAAATCAATTATATTATGTTGAACCACGTAATGTAAAAGCTTAAGCTGTTAGATAAACAATATTTAAATTTAAATATTATCTTCAACACATACACCCCTACGTGTAGACGGTATTCAATTTCTTCCATTAAAGCCTGACATATACACAATTTTATCAAATGGGTGTAATGAGACTTGAATCTAACATGTATATTATTAAATATAGTCTTCAACACACACTACTCAAGCGTGCACAATTTCATCAAATGGGTGTAGTGAGACTGAACCCAGGAGCTTTGTCTACTTGATACCATGTAGAACCACTAAATCTAGTAAGCTTAAGCGGTTATATAATGCAACATGTGTATCAGTAAAATATTATCTTCAATATATATCTACTGCATATCCAGTCAAAAACTGAACATTGCACCCAAAAGCTTGCAAAAAGTTACATGACCGAACCATGAATTCAAATCATCAAACTACATTAAAACCAAAAACAATCGTTAGAAGAATCTAGTCATCCAAACAAGATTCTGTAGCACGTTTGGCTGTGCTTTAAGTTAATCATTGCCAGACATGATTTGTTTACTTTTTTTAATAACAAAAATCCTGTTACGAACCAGGATTGCATTTGCAAACGAACAAACAAACAAATAGCATGTTTGAGCCCCATTATAATCTAAGAATGCATTTTGGAATAGTAGATGATGGGGATGTGGGGTTAAAAAATAAGAAAAAGTTTTGGGTTTTGCGTGTAATATTATTTTATTGAAAAACGTGTGGTTGTAAAAAAGAGAAACAAAAATACATTTTGTAAATAATGGAGGATCAAATAAGGGCAAAGATGGAAACCGAACAGGGACACTACTCAACAAGTAATAGATTACAGCAAAACCTTCTAGATATATACCTGTTCAGAGAGATAAGATGCATATTCCCTCTCCCCATTTGCAAATGCTGTTGCAGCCTGCAGAAATATGTGCCTTCTCAGACTTACAAGCCCAAAAACCATAAAACCAATAGTACGTACCAGTACAAATTCTTAAAACAGCAGAGACGACACAAGCATACACTACCTTCTGATAATAAGAATTCATGGACTCCCAGTGCTGCTTCGCAGTTACTCTGAACGCCTTATATTCATCTCCTTTAGCTAAATTTTAAGAGAAGTTAAACGTAGTGAAGAGATTAATATGATCTAATACATTAACGAAGCCAAAATATTGAGAGTGATTCCAATTTAAGAGAGAATAAAATGTCAAGCACTAATTTTCAATTGACCAGGGAAAAGAAAATTGAAGCAGCAGCAACAGTTGCATAATTCGTAACACAAACAAAACCAGCTTCATCCATTGAACTTTCACCCAAAAAGATGGCAAACATTTCATCGTAATGTAGCATTTTCATGATAACACAATTATAGAAAATCCTCATGCAACAAAAGATTTCAGATATGAACTTATGCTGAGTTATTGACAATTTGACATATATCTTTAAGACAACATAAACTGAAGAGATAGATGCAGCAGACACAATGAGCAAAGAACTAACTGATAATTGAATCAGCATAATCAAAATCATTTTATCGGAAAAACGCATCAGTAAAATTGAAATATGCATAAGAAAATTACAATACCATGGAGACTCTGCTCTTGTTCACCACCACCAGGTTCCAACCTTTGTCCCAGGGATTCCATTTTCTTTACCACATTCCTCCAGTTCATGGTGTTAGGTTCATGTTCAGCATTCTTGGGAGTGGGCATATTAAACAAGGATTTTAACACTTCCAGCGGAAGTTCTGACTCTGAGTTTCCAGTCTCCTTCAAACAGTGAGATTCACTGGCTGTAGAAACTTCAGAAAGATTCCTGAAAACACAGAAGATGATCAATCAATCTAATGTTTCCAGGTTTATTTCCATCTTACACTATTCTTTGTGAAAATATATGTTCCACTTGCATATTGAAAGTTGAGACTTGTCCATAGAAGCGTAAGAGTTCTTGAGGTAAAAACTTTCACTTCACCTCAAGATCAGACCTCCAAGAAAAGCTAAATACTAACTTAAGCCCCTGTTTGATCCACATTCAACAAAAATTCATTCTTTCAAAACTCATTTTCAACCACACATTCTTCAATAAAATAATATTTTCCATCACATCCAAAACTTTTCCTTATTTTTTAACCACATATTTTCCATCACATCACTATTTAAAATACATTCTTCCCTTAATAATGTGCATCAAACACCCCCTAATACCAAATCATGATGTTTGGTTCATATTATTTTCCATCACATCCAAAACTTTACCTTATTTTTTAACCACACATTCTCCATCAATCTACTATTCCAAAATACATTCTTCCAAAACAATATGGCTCAAACACATCCTAAGTATCCTTTCACATGATTATTGGGCTCTCTATCTTCTAGACAACATATATATTATAGCATAGTACTCTTAATTTCCTTCCACGGCATTTCCCCTGAAGAGGATGGAAAAATGTATTTGACAGAATATTTCTTATTTCCGAGTTTATGGGCCTTCATGTTAGAAACCAGAATGGAATTTGTCATCTCGCAAGCAAAAAGAGATACTTCAAGAATGAAAAGGGTAAAAAACTTCACGTATATTCTCCTCAGGTAACAAACAAAACCTTAACATTCTAATGCAATATGCAATAAGTTTTCAGAAATTGTTTAGCTTAAGATTGAGCTGTAATATTGAATATACACTATCGCTCTGAGAATAAAATTCTAAAAGTTGATAAGTTTTAACAGATCATTACATTTTTGGTAACCAGCTAGCCACATCCTAGAACAAATTATTTCTGTATAAAAGACAAGATTGGGAGCAACTAATTGGCTTTCTCCCACACTTTGTGGGATTATAAGAAAGCCCACAAGTTACTCTCAAACATGCTCATAGTTCCATAATTATAAGAGTCAGGAGAGGAACCCACTGATATATTACAAGAATGTTTGTTCAGGAATGACTCAACATTAAGGGCTTGCATGGGAATTATTTTTTTACCAATTTTGATCGGTTTTAGGTGGCACAGTTTATGCGAGGGTTGAAAGAACCGGTGCTTGCTAGATTTTTTTGGCACCAATTTTAAATAGCTTAAAAATCATCCAACCAACATATTTTGTTCCAAACTAAAATATTACTTGTAAAATAAAATATATATTAACTAAAAAATTATATTATAATTAAAAAATTACTTATAAGATAAAATATTACTTATAGGATAAAAAAATCACCTTTGAGTAAATATTTGTTTATAAAGTAAAAATACAACTAATAAGACAAAAATTCATTTATAAAATTAATTAAAAAAATATTACTTATAACTAAAAAATTCACTTATGCGTAAAAATTATTTAAAAGTACAAAATTCACTTCTAATTGTAAAGTTTACTTACAAATAAAAAAGATTAACTTAAAATTTTAGGTAAATATTAACTTATATGTAAAAAAAATTACCTATAAGTAAAAAAAATCATACAAGAAACTATAAATTGAAAATTTAACTAAGGATAATATATTTAATTTTATTCTTTTAAAAAACTTTTAGAATCGACGGATAATAAACTTCCAAGCATGGGTTGGACTGTTTTAAAAACCGCTCAAAATCGATCCGTTCATAAACGCTTAAAAACAGTACTTTAAAAAAGGTCATAACCGGTACTCCAAAACTCCCAAGCAGGCCTTACACGTCCAAGGATATTCAAGATTGTAGAGCGCACCAGCGAATCTTAGAAAGTAAAACCTTGATCGAATTTCAGAAGATCCAGAATAAACTAGCTTCCAGTTAAAAAGAAAAAACGAGAAAAAAATATTCGCATCATTATCTTGTACAAGCCAACTGAACTAATTCTTCTAGAAAATATTTCACTATAATTTAAGCACTAACTTTCAACAGACAACCCAATCCATCCTTGTAAGAATTAAACATTTAACAGCCAAGATAATATCCTAGATTTGTCTTCAAATGAAAGGAGAAGAACATATAGTTGGTTGCAGGTACATGGACTATGATTCACATCAAATTAGAGAAAGAAAATCTATAAAGGATTTCCACAACAGTGTACTCGGCTGAAGTCCTCCGTTGTTTATGAAAGTCTATATAGGAATTTCACAAGAGCATTTCCACTTAAATTCCTTTGCTGTGTTAATTAATGGGACAACTTTAGCTGGTAATGTGAAATGTGATTTCAAAGTAGGTAGTAATCAAAAGAATGACAAGATTATTAGTGAACTATAGGTATGGTTCATGTTTTACAAGGTTTAAGTGCCAAAAATATTTATGAAATGAATGTACAGTTCCGTCTTTATAGAGTGCAGAAAGAACAATGTTCACAACTTATTTAGTTGTTCTCATATTCATTTTCTGAGTATGTTACTCAATGCTTTTGACTAGAAATGTAAAGATCCCTTCGACCATTTCTCTGTTACAACAAATAGACATATTTCAGAACTACTTTTTATCCAGATCCTCTTAGTGCAGCAAAATGAAACTCCAATGGCAAATGGAACATAGGTCATTGCATCCTGACAAATACGTGCCTATCTGAATGACCAATAATTAAACTGAATTACCTGAAAAGATTCACAGTGGGAGACACATTATCTTGAACTTCAATTTCAGATGGATGAGAAGTTGAGTTCAATATCTCATCAGAAAGCTGCAGGGACATTAAAATAAAATAAGATAATTTTACTCATGGAAATTAGTTTAGACACCCATAATTAACGCTTGTCATATAAATGAATATTAATCCATATATCCAACAAACCAGAACAAAGAACAAAAATGGGCTTCGATATGCTATTGCATTATGACATGAACACCGAGATCACAGGTTCACCTCTCATAGTTTGGTTTACCGACCACACCAACTAATCATTTCAAGAAGAACTATAAAGCAAGTACAAAGTACCAGAAAAAACGTCATCAATGCAGGTAATAAGCAAAAAATGATTCATTAACAGCCTATAAAGGCACAATACTCAGTATTGTAGGTAGTCTTTGTGGGATGGGGCAGAAGGGGAAAGAGGAGAAAACTATAGGAAACAACAACAAAAACCACCAAAATGGTTTAACCCAAAAAAAAAAGACAGAAATGGATGAGAATAAACTGCAACATACACTGCCATTTGATTCCAGAAGAAACTGAGCATCTTCTCCATCAGTAGAATCATAACAACATTTGGATTGTTTACTCGAGGAACCAGATAATTCAAGTAGTACATCTAAAGCCTGTAAAAGGTAGAGAAAGTGTGAAACATTAATATGGAATAAAATTTCCAAAAACAAATAATTCTATGTTGCCCAACGGGTTTAGAAGAATAATTTAATACTTGTTTAAGCCCCATTTTTTTCAAAAAATAGATTTTGTAATAGTGTTATGATGAAGAATGTGTGAATAAAAAATAAGGAAAAGTTTTGGATTTACATGTAATATTATTTTATTGAAGAATATGTGGTTGAAATAGGGTCAAATCACTATTCAAGAATATATTTTGATGGAACAAAAGGGGCTCAAAAACAAGGGCTTAGTAGTAGCTCCGTACCTCAAGCATTATACTGTAACAAAAACATAATGGAACAAAAGAAGATTGCTAAGCATTTTTTAATTTTAGAAAGAAAAAAAAAGAGTTAGCTGCCACCAATATTTTCGGATAACTCAGTCAAAAACCCATCAAAAACATTTGAGCTCCCTCAGTGAGGAGTGTGGAAACTATTTATCTTGACATCATTTTACGCACGGTTACTCTGATTCCATTTCAGACTTAAGAGAAAGGTCTATATTCGGGGCAAGGTCAGCGAAATTGAAAATTAGACTAACCATTGACATCAAGATTATAGACAGCAATAAAGACATCACCTATGACTAACCGTGGGTAAAATCGTCAACTCGAATAATAATAATAATAATAAGATATCACCTATGACTAACCGTGGGTAAAATCGTCAACTCGAATAATAATAATAATAATAATAATAATAATAATAATAATAATAATAATAATAATAATAATAATAATGTTTCTCGAGATTTTGTTAAAGTTTAAATTGAGAAAGGATTAAACTTCTGGTTGCTGGCTTAGTTTTAGAGATTGGTAGTCATCAATAGGAGAAAAGAGGAAGACAACATAGTGGCAGGACATTGTGATTGATATAGCTGTGAGGATATTTAGCATTTGTAGCAGAGGTGTATACTTTTTGAAAGACGAATCATTTCTACAAGTAGTATTCTGGGAGAAAAGAGATAAAATTTGACCCATACTAGGATGAAAAGCTAGACAATGGTTACGAAATGAAGGGACTGGAAAGAGAATGCTCTTTAAAACGAGCAACCATAGTATGGGTTACAGAGTTTTAGTAGTTTAACATTGAAAGTGAAGGAAGAAGTCAACTTTACAGTCCTTACCTTCTCAAAGTCATATCCACATTGACCTGTCAAAGAAAAGGTAATTTCAAGTCACATACAATCCTCAAGAGACCACCACATTGAAATCTTATTATTCATAAAAGTATATATCTTACCCCCCCCCCCCCCCCCCCCCCCCCCCCCCCCCCCCCCCCCCCCCCCCNCCCCCCCCCCCCCCCCACCCAACCCCGCAAAGAATAAACACATCAGGTTTCATAACAATACATTGAAAGAAAAATGAAAAACAAATAATAGCATATAACCCACACAGGACATCTCTAATGACACCCAAGTTCAAATCGCACTCCGATCCAAGCATCGAGCACAAGAACTGCTCTTTGTCCTCCCTGCTCCAGCTGTCCTCGTGAAAACCCTTCCACTTGAGTGAACTCTTATTTGGAGTAGACCTCACATAGTCTTTTCCCAACATCGTTGCCACCATTCCTGCAGTAGCCACAACTTTCTTCGACCTGATCTTACTATTCAGCTTAAACCCTTGCTGAACACAATCATTTGCCTGCACAAACTCTGATGCACTCGAACTCGAGCTTGTATCCACATTGTAATTCCCATTAGAACTCGAGCTTGTATCCATGTTGTAATTTGCACTTGAGCTCGAGCAACTCGTGCTATGATCCTCATCCACTGCGCTCTCTACCGCCTTGGCAAGGATTTCTGCAGCCCTGTTTGGGTCCCCATTGACTTCTTTGTAAGCGGAAGCAGCTTGTTCCAGCGAAACAGAAGAAAAAGCCTCCGTTAAATTTTTCAGGACCCTTTCAACATTCTCGTTAGAACTTTCGCTTGATGCAGCAGGACTTTTTGCCTTCTCCTTTTTCGAAACTCTTGATCTCTTTTTCTTCTTTGATTGCTTCATTCTTAAATAAATGCTAGAGTATTTGTACAAATCTCTATCTCTATCTAAGAATATCTGGCTTGGTAGAGCGGTTATGAACAATTGCTATTTATATTTAGAACTACTAATAAACCAAGAAATCTGATAGATCATATCTTTCATTCAATCTCTAGCAGAAGACCAAACGAAATAACGATCTAGAGGCGTTGATAAACGGGGTTCCTAAAATTGAGGGGAAATAACCTAATCCTTCCATAAAAGCGAAACCCTAAATCAAAAAATCATATGCAGAAAGAATTTACAAAATTAGGGTTCACCAAATCATTCAATAAAAATTAAACCCTTAAATCAGAAAAATCAAATGCAAAACGTAATTCCCAAATCAGGGTTAGATTCAGAATAATTCGAATACAGAAGACCCTAATTGGGAAACAGAAACCAAAAAAGTCCCAGAAAGTTTTCCCAAGAAATGCAGACTTTGATCGGGGAAGTATTTAAAAATAGACACAGATGAAAATTTTAGTGGGGACAAATATATGTGGTTTTTATGAGAACAACTGATTGTTCATTTGTTTGATTGAGCCCGTGCCTTATAAAGGTGTAGATTGACGGAGAGTGTATATTCTTAACAAAGAAGAAAAGTTTTAGCCGAAATACATTTTTTTTCAAAATTCATTTTTAATTTTATATTTTTTAATAAAATAATATTTTTTATCACATTAATAATTTTTTCTTACTTTTTAATTACATATTTCACATCATATCACTATTTAAGACACATTCTTTTTTCAATAATATCAATTAAACACACCCTTAAATTTATGTATGATATTATCCTATTGAAAGTGTGGTTGGAAAGAGTGAGTAAAAAAAATATATTTTAAAAATAATGTGGAGTGATCGGATATTGTGGCTTCCTTTCCAAAGGAAAATTTGCAATTGGATTGAAATTCTTGAAATTGATGATCCAATTTCATAAGGGATTTAGCCACTATTTGACAATTATTATTTTAAAACGATTTATTCTACATACTTATTTTTAATAATACATTTATAGAATAAAATATTTTGCACGTAAATTCAAAATTTTGTCCTACTTTTTAACCACAAATTATCCAAAACTAATTTTTTGAATGAAGATTTAGAAGAAGAAATCCATATGGAATAACTTGAAGGGTTTTTATCACCAGGACGGAAAGAAAGTCTGTAAATTGGTGAAATCATTGTATGGTTTGAATCAAGCATCCAAACAATGACATGAAAAATTTGATAATGTCATGATGATGTGTAAATTTAAAATTAACGAGTGTAACAGTTGTATATACGTCAAAGACACCAAAAATGGTTATGTCATTTTACATATTTACGTTGACGACTTACTTATTATTGATAATGACAATAAGGTGATTAAATTCACTAAAAATATATTAAATTCGAGATTTGACAAGAAAGATATGTGTTAGGTGATGTTATACTTAGAATTAAAATTTCAAGGACATCGGATGAGCTCATTCTAAATCAATCACATTTGATAACTTAAAAATAACTAATCAAGAAGGGGGTGAATTGATTTTTAAAACTTTTTGAAAAAATTAATCTAAATTTAGGCAACTAAAAACTAAATAAATTAATTCAAATAATAAGCACAAATATAAAAATAATAAGTAAAAGTGAGAAAATGCAAACGCTATAATTGTAGATATTCGGTCCAAAGCAATGATCGACATCCTCCATTATCAAACTCTCTGATACGAACAAGGCCTTTTCATAATGTTGATTGACTTATAGTGCAATCCAACGCTTCCAGTGACTTACAAATAAGGAGCACCAATCGTTATACAATGTTGAGGTTTATGGGA